AACATAGCCACAGAAAACATTAGTTCACTAATGTAATAAATGTTGGAACAGAGCCTTACAGAACATTAGTTTACCTATATAATAAATGTTGGAACAGAACTACACAGAACATTAGTTTATCTATATAATAAGATGTTGGAACATAGCCACAGAAAACATTAGTTCACTAATGTAATAAATGTTGGAACAGAGCCTTACAGAACATTAGTTTACCTATATAATAAATGTTGGAACAGAACTACACAGAACATTAGTTTATCTATATAATAAGATGTTGGAACATAGCCACAGAAACATTAGTTCACTAATGTAATAAATGTTGGAACAGAGCCTTACAGAACATTAGTTTACCTATATAATAGATGTTGGAACAGAGCCACACAGAACATTAGTTTACCTATTTAATAGATGTTGAAACAAAGTTACACACAGAACATTAATTCAAATATAGAATAGATGTTAGAACAGAGTTACACAGAACATTAATTTACCTGTATAATAAATGTTGGAACGGAGCCACACAAAACATTAGTTTAACCACATAATATGTGTTGGAAGAGATCCATACAGAACATTACTTTATCTATATAATAAATATTGGAACAGAGGTACAAATGACATTAGTTTCCCTATATAATAGATGTTGGAACAGAGCAACACAAAACATTAGTTCACTAATACAATAAATGTTGGAACAGAGCCACACAAAACATTAGTTCACTAATACATTAAATGTTGGAACAGAACCACACAAATAATTAGTTTACCAATATTATATATGTTGAAACTGAGCCACACAGAAAATGAGTTTATCTATATAATAACATTTCAAACAGATTCATACAGAACATTACTTTATCTATATAATAAATATTGGAACAGAGCCTCGCAGAGCATTAGTTTATCTATATAATAGATGTTGGAAACGAATTACACAGAACATTAGTTTACCTATGTAATAAGATGTTGGAACAGAGCCACACAGAACACTAGATTACCTATATGAAAAATGTTGGAAGAGATCCACACAGAACATCACTTTATCTATATAATAAATGTTGGAACAGATCCATACGGAACATTACTGTATCTAAATAATAAGATGTTGGAACAGAGCCCCACAGAACACAAGTTTATTTATATAATAAATGTTGGAACAGAAATATACAGAACATTAGTTTACCTATATAATAAATGGTGGAACAGAGTCACACAGAACATTAGTTTGGCAATACAATATATCTTGAAACAGAGCTACACAGAACATTAGTTTACTTATATAATAAATATTGGAACAGAGCGACACAGAACATTAGTTTACCTATATAACTATTG